CAGGCAAGAACTGGTGGGACCACAAAACAGACAAAGTAATAGAAAATGAAGAAACTGAAGTACTCTGGGACTTTAGAATTCAAACAGAAGCACCAACCACACAATACCTCAGACTTAACAATTGTTGATAAGAAAGACAAAAAAGTCTGGATAGTACACATTGTAATATCTGGACACAGCAGAATAGAAGAGAAAGAAGTGGAGAAAATCACAAAACATAAAGACCTGCAAATAGAAGTAGAACAACTATGGCAAAAGAAAGTAAAGATAGTACCAATAGTAATAGGTGCCTTGCGTGCAATCCCAAAACATCTGGAGCACCACTTGAAGACCATCGGCATTGACAAAATCACCATCAGTCAATTCCAAAAGGAAGCTTTACTTGGAACAGTTTATATCCTGTTACGATACCTTTAATATTATTATACAACAACTTCTGCCTATCCCAGGTCCTTGGAAAGGACTCAATAGGTGGACAAAAATGCCAAATCAAGTCTGAATATCTGGCTGACTGTGTGACCAACCATAATAATAATATACAGTGTAAAAACTAAGTGCAGCCAAAACCAAGAAGAGGCAAATAACTGGGTAACTGTAGTAGTAGTGAGGGTATTTCTCTCCATATAAGATTGGATTTGATATAGCCACCTAAACTGTGAAAAGATATGTTCCCATTAGTAAGGATGGAGTAAAGAGATTTCCAGAACATCACATGTGATCTTTTGGGGAATGTAGGCCCTGACAGATTAGGTTTAGTGCCACTCAGCTAGGAAAAACTACCCAGTAATAACTTTGTATTTGTATTGAATCTCGGTTTATTGGCTTTTATTCATTCTGGTGAATAAAAGAGCTGATTTTTTTAGCAAATTGCTTAATACCAGAAAGTCAAATCATTGAAGGAAATATGCAATGAAGGCTACTCCACAGAATCAGAGGGAGAGGAGCAATAATCAAAATACATGTTTAGGTATCTCATCATTCTTCAATAGTCTATTGGCAAAATGGGAAATCATTCCGCATAAACACCCATCTGTTTTAAAGATGACATTCTTCAGACCAAAGACAGATGAATGTGTATATAGGTTATGTGTATCTAATATATTTCATATGTGTCTAATGAATACAAGTCTGAAGCAGTTCATTTGCATATCATTTGGACCTCTCTGTATGTTCTAATTATGGACAAATTCTGGTTGCACTGAGAAACTCTGGCTGACTACGCCATTGTGAAGAAGATAGCATCATTTTGGGTTTATTATTTGGAACAGATGAACACTTAATAAATGTATGTGGGTTTTGCTAATGTGATATAGTGTATAGCACTGCATTGCATTATTAACATTTTGCAGCCTTGATCAGGTTAGATAAGAATAATGTTAACAGCAGTTTAACTCTACTCTTATTTTGTGAGATAACATGTTAATGATGTAGCTGTTTTAATTTAAATTTAACAGACAATCTAAATATAGGTTTTCCTTACAAAGACAAAAGTTGCAATTTAAAGCTCTTTGGTAGTCTAAAAACAGCTTAATTCTCTAGTAGCATAGCAATAAGTATTAATCCAGCTTATGCGGTGATTGCAGTATGTCATGTTTGTGAAAGATTGTCTAACTAGGCTTTCTCTTAGTTTTACTGTAGGTGTATGTGTGCTTGAGTCTGTATGTATACACCGTATGCAATTATTAAAATTGTAACATTTCTATGCTGAGACAAGCTGTTCATTTTAATTGATGTTTGAACAAGAGCAGAAATTACCACGTTTCCAATATTCTCAATATCACCTTGTCTCTTTACCTCCCATGTAGATTGTGGGAGAATAAAGCACACCTTATCAGCATTTTTTTCTTCATAAACTGAGGGCGCTGTAATCCAGATTCATTTCTCAGAGTCTAAGCTCTCTTTACTGATCGAGAAAACACTGTAACCTTTTCTCTGTTTTTCTAATGGTTGAAAGAGCAAGTGGAAGTCACTAGAATTGGTATGCCCAAGTCCATTTCTTGTGTTTTGGGGTGCAGTGAGGTTTACCCCAATAAGAAAATTGCATCTGAGTTTTTGGTTTCCATAGGATGCAGTGCTGTCTGGAGTTTTTGCAGGAGTTAAGTAAATTTGCCCCAAATGCTCAAAAAAAGAAAAAGGAAAAAAAGGGCTGCACTTTTCCTGCTCCTGATTTAGTTCATTAGGTGATGGAACTTCATTGTTAGATTTCTTCATCATACAAAGTCATCATTCTTCTAAATGAGAAAAAATGGATTGGACAAGAATGTAGGGTACAACCCTTCCTCCAGAAGCTAAGGATAATATAATTTAAGTTTGTGTCTATCTGTGACAAAGGAAACAAAGCTGGACAAACTGTAAAGTTTTTAAAAGTTATGCAGGGAAAGAATCTTTTGGGTTCCAATTTTCATTGGAAAACAGATTAGAGACTGCTGTTTTTAAAGCTGTGCCTCTGTTTATGCTCAGTCTCAACTCTACTTTTGTTCAAAGGAAACAGCATTAAAATATATTCATTCCTTGAATATATGGGGGGAGAGTTGCATTATCCAGCTATTAGTAAACAACATGTTACATATCTGAACTGTTGTTTAAACTCCATTGCAGCCAGTCAGATTTACCTTCTTAGTACTATTTGCAGCTGTACAAATCTCTTAAAAGGTTATGAACTGTCTTTCCTATTATTTAAAATCTCATAATAATAGATGGGAGGCTATGCAGGATATTTAATAAAAAAGGGAAAAGGAAATCTGAACACAAAAAATAAAAACCACACTAGTTATTGCATAAATCAAAAGGTTTTATGTCATAACATGAACATATGCCATACTGGCTTGTATATTGAATTTTAGTAGTTGGTTGCATAGAAAAGTGAAGTGTAATGAAACTGCAAGCAAAGTATTCCCCAGTCAGCCTTATCTTTGTTCCATTTGTCCTTCAGACATAGCTTTTCTTACATTTTTCAATAAAATCCATCCAGCTCTTTACTTTCATTTTTTTTTCACTTTGCATCTCTCTGTAACTGAGCTGAGAAAACCAATGAGATTCAGTGCTTTTCTACTTGAGTCCTTAGCTGTTTTTTAAGAGATCAAAACCTAGAATGCAGCTACATGGTATTAAGGCTTAGCCACTGATGTGTCCCTATAGAGGTAATGTTTTTCTTGTGGGGAGATGGGTGGGAGGGAAAGGGTGAAGGGTGACACTTTTGAACAGGCTTGTAGACAGTAAACACTACTTTCCTTGTTTCTTAGGATCCTCTTTGCAAGCTCAGTGCTTAACCTGACGGAACTTATTGCCCTTCGGCCTGACCTTGGCAAATTGAAAAAGATCCTTTACTTCCACGAGAACCAATTGACATATCCTGTCCAGAAATGTCAGGAAAGGGACTTCCAGTATGGATATAACCAGATTATTTCATGGTAGGTACATCACGTACCCTCTTGTGGTTAATTATTCTATCTTTTAAGTCACTTTCATTCATTCAAAATTTGTAGAACCCTAACCTTTTTCAAGGGATGGAGAGGAATGTACAGAATTCAATATCAAAATATCAGGTGAACTTACTTTCTACCAGCCAGATTGTAGAAAGAGAAGCATACCCAGATGCTATTGTTAGAATCATGTTGTACTCCAATAAATTGCATTAACTTTCAGTATGTACCTTCTTTGTAATATAGACAAGATTCTTTCACTTTGAAAGCACTTAACAAAGGGGCAGTTAATCAACACTGGCTTAGCAATAGTTTTTATTGCATTCAACTGAAATTAAAATAGGAGTATTCAAGGGAGTAAACAAAAATTAAAATATACGGTACCAGTGATATTTAGGGAGAGAGGGTAGTAAACATACCAGATGAATCCTTACGTTTCTTTCATTGTGTATTCACAGTTAGTGCAATAGTAAAACACCCAGACATTTAAAAGCGTGTGACCCTTTATATTGTTACTTAAAACAAACATATTTCTTGAATATAAGTTAATGAAAGAAGTTAGTAAGATTTTCACTGGAAAACTTTGTGATCAGGCAAAGTTTTGGAAACCTAAAGTAAAATTGGAAAACCGAATTTGCTTGAATTTGAATATTCGTGGTCTATTGCACCATTTTTTAAGGAGAATTATTATAAGTGTAGATTGAGCTCCAGATTAAAGCTAGATGTATAATATCTGCATCTTTGTGTTATCACTCAACTGAAAGATGAGCAGTGATTCCATATAGTTTAATTTTTTTTGTAGTGTCCATTCTGCTTTTGTTTACAAAATATTTCAGTTTTGTAATAGATGTATTCTGAAATATAATTAATTTGCTTTGCCTTAAAATTGTGCCTAAAAATAAATAGCAGTTGATGTAAAATCACTCTCAACTTAATTTCAGGAAGTACAGGTAGTTCTCACTTAACAACCACAATTGGGACCCACAACCCCATCACTAAGCAATGCGGTTGTTAAGTGAGACATCACATGACCATGACAGACTTACAACCTCACTTCCGCCGCAGTTGTTAAGCAAGTCACTGCAGGTCATTAAGCAAGACATCACATGACCGTCACTTGCAATTTTACTGCCAGCTTCTCCATTGCCTCTGCTTGTCGGAAGCTGACTGTGAAGCGCGCAAATGGCGGTCAGGTGACCATGGGACTCTGACAGTCATAAATGTCCACTGGTTGTGAAGTGCCTGAATCTCAATCCCGTCGCTGCAGGGACACTGCAACAGTCGTAAGTGGGAGGACTGGTTGTAAAGTTACTTTTTCAGTGTTGTCATATCTTTGAACAATTGCTAAACATGGCAGTCATTAAGTGAGGACTATCTGTAATACAAATATCATGACATTTTTAAACTATTTATTCTTTGTTACTTTTAACAATGTGATCATTGTTGCTTTAAATGATGTAGCCTTTTAAATGATATGGTATTAAATGATTAATACTCAAATGTGTAACTTCAGTCTACAAACATATTAAAACTCCCATAATGTAGTAGACAAACACATAATTATAGTGGTGGATGGGGTAACATGGCGGATGTTGATAAAATGCTGAAGGCAGTAGTATTCTTAGCATCTTCTTAAAAAAATGGTTGACCAGAAAATAGATTATTATACATATTGACAATTGTTTAAGTCTAATTGTTAATAAGGCGACTGAAATAAACCTTAGATGGAACAGTGTTGGGATCTTGTTCTAAAAATATATTAGGTTCATTCCAGTATTAAAAATGACCTGATCTAAAAATTTAGAGTAGGTACTGTACCAAGGTCTAGTAGGGAAAGCTTATAATTCTAATGTTAAAGGAACCATCATGCCAGAAATCTACTCCCCACTGTGAAATCAGCATTGTGAGAGGTTCTCAAAATACTGACTCTGTTATGGGACACACAGAAGAAGACCATTCTTGTACTTACACTTGCTTCTCCTTTTATCTAACAGCTTTGACAGCTTATCATAGGTGTGAAAACTATTTGCTCCTGAGCTTCTAATTCTACATACAACATTCGGTAAACCCCAGACTTACTTGATTGTCTGCTTTATCCAGCCAAGTGGTAAGAAGCCCTTTATCAGAAATCAGGAACAAAGGCGATGACGGTCTGTATTCATTCCATGGCTATGAAAGCTATGTGCAGAGTGGCTTCTGAAACATTCATGGATTCCTAGACTGAAATCATAATTTCTGAGACAGAGGATGTTATTAACAGGCAATGCATCTTCTTGGTTCGAGACAAAACAATCAAGAAAGGATTTTTGGAGCTTTCCATGAACCCTGGTTGTCATCTTTGTTTATTCTCAGCCCCTTCATCCTACAAAAGTCTAACTGGCAAAAGGAGATGTTAGTTCTCCTTTCCATCCATCCTTCATGCATTTCTGTAAATGATAATCCACAAAAAGGAGCCTTGTTTTACCTGTTTCTTTCTTAATTTTGTATTTTTAGAACCCTACATACTAAAAACTCAGCCAATGTTAAAATGCCTCAGGGAATATCCATTTATTTACTTAGATTAGATTAGATTTAGGTGCCGCTGTACTCCAAAATGACTCTGGGCAGCTTACAATAATAAAGTGAGTAGACATCTCTTGACCAGCAGAACCACAAAATCACAGCAACTTAAGTCAGAGGATGGCCTGAATGGCAGAGGCTTTCCCATATTGAATAAAACATGCTGTGCCATGCCTACTATCCTCTATCCTATGTAGTAATGGAACATCAAGCATGAAGATAAAATATAAATATAGAATGTTCCAAGTGACTTTTCTTCCATTTAATTCAACATATGGCAACCTGGTCCCCTCCAGTGCATTGTGTCTACAACTGTTGTCAGCCTCAGCTAGGTGGTTTGCCCAAAATACATGGAGCATGCCAGCTTGGAGAAGGTTGACTTAGGACTTAATGAAGTGCACTCCCAATACTATCCTTTTAAAAACGTAAATTGTTGTCATGATTTCATTTGGAGGGAACTCTATTTATTCTAGCTGGAATGACTATCTACCGCTCCTCCAAGTTTTTAAATCTGCCAAGAAGACAAGCTTCTGAACAAGAATTCTGGATCAGAAAGGAATTATGGTTTCATAGTTCATGGCTGATAGAAGAAGAGAAGATACAAATACTACCCCTATCAGGATCTCAAGGCAATTTAAGTGGGAAGGAAGAAAATCCCTAACAAGTGGCGAACCACATTTCACTGGTTTTAAAGAAAATGCACTGGCTACTAATATACATCTAGACCAAATTCAAAGTGTTAGTTAGGTTTCAAGCTTCAGACCTTAGCATTTAGAGGTCCCTTGTATGTACTAGTGGGACCACTAACTAGGGAGGAATATGAAAGAGCTTTCTTAGCTGTGGCATCACAGTTTTGGTGAGGGGCATGAACTTAGATTTTTTTAAAAAAGTGCCCTCACAACTGAATTGGAAACTAAGTAATACCCAAAATCTGAATAATATAGCATTATATAGCACAACCAATGGAATTCAAAATTCACTCTCATTTTCCCTATGGATGTTTGCATGTTAAACCCATGACTTCATTTGATGAGAATATGGGAGATTTCTTAGAAAAAAATATATATTATATAGAATCTGCTTTTCTTCCATCAAGGGATGCTAAGTATACATATGTTATTTATTTATTTTTCTTTTAATTTACTACATTTTAGTGCTCAGAATTCTATTTTGGCACTCATCTACAAGCTATAGACCATAATGTAGGTTTGTTTGTTTTTTTTAAAAAAAAATGAGTGAGGCAAAAATGAATGCCTGTCATGAAGTTGTCTCCCAGTAAAGAGCAATAGAAAGAGGTCGGCTCAATAGTTGTCTTAGTTGAAAGAAAGCATGTTGCTAAAAATTAACTGTTTGGGAAAATACAAGATTTCAGAAAATTGTTCCACTCCAGTTGTGGAGCTGAAAAGGAACAGAGATCTCTGGGCATATTTTCTTACTTTTCCTACTGACTACTATTGCTCTTTGGGAGTTGCAGTTTTCTTTATTGACTATGAAGCAGTGAGAATTATGAGGAGGAATGACTTTAACCCTGTGCTGTTAGTTTAAGTGGGAGAAATGTGTAAGTGGAGAAAAGAATGGTAGAAGTGCAGGACTAGAAGTAACCACCTCCTCCATCAGTAATATAACAGTAACTCATGTAAAAGTCCATAGATGTTGAAGGGGCAAATATAAAATCTGAATATTGCAGTACAATTTTATTCTGTACAATTTGCAGTTCAGTTCCTGTGCATGTGAACACTTCACGTTTATTGGTCTATTCCTTCTCTGTTATAGAAGTTGTGATCAGTATTGTATGTGTCAAGGTAGGGTGGAAATACCAGAGGCAGATATCTTGTCCCTGAAGTTATAGAATGGCACACCAATAACATTAAATTGGCATTTTTTTTTCTTAATTTGAATTACAGGATTATATTCATGTGAGTATGGGTCATAATTCTAAGATCAACATTTCTTTTTATTAGTTGAAAAAGTTTTTACTTTTAAGAGGACAAATTGTGCTGAGAAAATGCGTGTATCTATTTTTGCATTCATATTTATTGTTATGAATTATTTTAGCTGTAAATAATTTTAGCTGTAAACGTCCTTTGTCCTTTAAGTACATATTAACATGTTTAGGCTAATTTAAAAGAATAGTTAACCCCTTTTGTTCATCTTGGAGATGTTTATGACTCGTTTAAGTTCACAGTATAATACATTTGTTAAGAAAGTAAAATCTGAGAACCCTCAAATTGCAAACCTGTCTTTCCTTTGAAGGCACAAGTTCATATAGTGATCTCTATAAAAAATGTGGACAAAAAGTATATGTGATACTCTGAACATATAGAGTATAGACTGTACAAAATTGGGTTGGATCCAGAGAATTTTGAGCAGAAGGGGAGAAATGTATTTGTGCTCTTCCATTAATCCTTCCATGAAAGAATTAATGAAAGATTTCATGATATAATGTTTGCATTTCACCATAAGAAATGTGAATAAGATGAAGCTGTAATATGAGATCTCCGGCAGGTGATTAATATGTCGTGAAAGCAAATTCTGGTTGCTGGTGATCACACATCACTTGGATGTACAGCAGAATCACTGGGAGGAAAGAAAAAAGACTCCTACCTCTAAGCAACCTCTAAGTTGCTGGTTTCCCAGTCTCATTAGCGGTGGAAAACCAGACTCTGTAATATGATCGTCCTTAGGGAAAGGTCCAAAACGTATGGACCCTCAGTTGCCTACCCTAGGCCTAGTGAAAGGGCAGCTTTACATCCAACCAATTAAGTTCTATGCATTATTCATTGTCAACAATTTTCTCTCTCTTTTGTTAGTTTGGTAGCTGACATTGTGGTGTTCAACTCTGCCTACAATATGGAGTCATTTCTAACATCAATTGGGAAATTTATGAAGATGATGCCTGACCACAGACCCAAGCATCTGGAAAAGCTAATCAGGCCAAAGTGCCAAGTCCTTTACTTTCCACTAAAGTTCCCAGATGTGAGCAGGTTAGTACCTTTCTACCACCTTCTCCAATTGGTGTCATGTATTGCTGCACTTCATTTTCACCATTACCATTATCATGGCAACTCAAAGAAATATATTTCGTTCCAAAATATTTTTTGAGGCAGAGCTGAGAAACTCTAGAACACAGAAAATATCAAGCCAGGGCAATTTGTAACCAATAATAGAGATGGAAGAAAAGGAAAGAAATTAGAGTGAAAAAATAATGACTGCTGGAAGAAAAATTACAACTTCTCTGTGAAAAAATATTTAAAAACATGTTTTTATATATTTGTTGATTTAGAGAAAGCATATGGTAAGTGAATAGGATTAATTTATGGAAAGTTTGTGTGAAGAATGTTGTTTGCTGAATACTGTATGAATGATAAATGGAGGAAGTAAAGCATGCATGAGTATAAATGGAATGCTTACTGAATGGTTTACATTGATGAGGGAGTAAAAGAAGGATATGTAATGACCCTCCATTGTTTAATGCATGTATAGCCAAATGTTTAAGGAAAGCTTGTGATATTGAGGTAAGTTGATTGGATACATGAATGTACGTGTATTTTTGAGCACAAATGATGTCATGTTGTTAGTTGAGAATTCAAATACTTTGCAGTGAATGGTAAGTATGTTATATAATGCAGTGAGGAGAATGGATTTCAAAAAATAATGTATCAAAGACAAATAGATGAAATAAACAAACAAACAAACCTTGGTAGAAAATATATTTACAAAAGATGGGAAAATGGATGAAGAAATTTTTAAATGTTCAAATGTTGGTAGAAGGGTAATGGGTATTAAATGGTCTGTTGTGAGAATGAATGTTTGTTGAAAGAAGCAGCATAGGTTGTTTATAAAAGCTGCTTCTGTTTACAGGTAGTCCTCAGCTTACAACCATTCGTTTAATGACCGTTTGAAGTTATGGCAGCACTGAAAAAAGTGACTTATGACCAGTCCTCTCAGTTAAAACCATTCCAGAGTCCCTGTGGTCACGTGATCAAAATCTGGGCACTTGGCAACCGGCATGTATTTACGATGGTTGCACCATCCCAGGGACACATGATCACCATTTGCGATCTTCCCAAGGGGCTTCCAACAAGCAAAGTGAATGGGGGAAGCCATATCTGCTTAATGACCATGTGATTTACTTAGTGACTGATGGAAAAATGTAAAAATCAGGCACAACTCATTTAATGACCACATCACTTAGTGATGGAAGTTCTGGTCCCAATTGTGGTCATACGTCTAGGACTACCTGTACTTGGTTATATGGAAGCAAGAGTGGGGTATGCACGGAGGAAAATAAGAGGAAACTCAATGTATTTGAAATGGATTACTTAAGAAATGTGTGGGGAAAGAATAGATAGGGCCAGAATGAATGGGTGACAATAAAAGTTGATTGAATACAAAAGTGGCTGACCAGTAAAAAAGAATGCAATGAGGTAGTTTGGTCATATATAGAGAATAAATATAGAATGAATATATGAAGGAAGAGTGAATGGAAGAAGAAGAAGGGAATGAACTAGACAGTTGAATGGAGTTGATAGGATTCTCAAAAAGAGAGAGGTGAGCAGTTAATGGAAACAAAGACAGTTTACAAATATTAAAAAGTATGGAACGTTTATAGTGAATGGTCTCTATGTAAATGAATTTCAGCTATATTTCTTTTTTTCCCATTATTGCATATGTTTAATTTATTTGCATACTAATTCTTGAGGTCTTTTTATCCTTTGCATAACATTGATTTCCCAGAAGGGAATACTTTGATTGGTGTGTGTATATATTCCTCCTTTGCCAGTTTTGCATGTATGTACGCATGTATGTGTACGTATGTATGTGTATATATATGTATGTGTGTGTATATACACACATACACACACAAAATCGCCTCTCGCCCCTATGGGTGATATGTGTCTTCCTCAATCTCAGGTCCTCTACCTAAGGTCCAAGAGTTTATGGCTTCTGTGAAGTTTCTTAACTATTGCTAGCACTGCACTCTTCTGGGCAGAGAGCTCTGATGTTATTCTTCCCCAGCTTAGGAGTCACAGCACTGAGTGTTCCTACTACCACTGGGACCACTTTGGCTTTTATTTTCCATATCCTCTCTAGTTCCTCCTTCAGGTCCTGGGACTTCTCCAGCTTCTCATATTCCTTCCTCCTGATGTTGCTACCACTTGGCACTGCTACATCTATCACCACCGCTGTCTTCTGGTCCTTGTCTTCTACCATGATGTCTGGTTGATTGGCCAGTACTGCTTGTCTGTCTGTATCTGACAGAATCTTAGCCCTGTTATTCTCCACAACCTTCTGTGGAATCTCCCATCTGGATTTGGGAGGGTCTAGCCCATATACTGTACAGATGTTTCTATACACAAGGCCAGCTACTTGGTTCTGCCATCTACATCTATCACCCCCGCTGTCTTCTGGTCCTTGTCTTCTACCATGATGTCTGGTTGATTGGCCAGTACTGCTTGTCTGTCTGTATCTGACAGAATCTTAGCCCTGTTATTCTCCACAACCTTCTGTGGAATCTCCCATCTGGATTTGGGAGGGTCTAGCCCATATACTGTACAGATGTTTCTATACACAAGGCCAGCTACTTGGTTCTGCCATTCAGTGTATCCTGTTGCTGCCTGCATCTTACACCCTGCCATTGTGTGTTGGATTGTCTCTGAGGCCTCTCTCCACAGTCTGCACCTTGGGTCCTGTCTAGTGTGGTAGACCCCGGCTTCTATGGATCTAGTGCTTAGTGCCTATTCTTGTGCTGCTATGATCAGTGCCTCAGTGCTGACTTTTAGTCCAGCTCTTTCCAGCCACTGGTAGGATTTCTCAATGTCAGCCACCTCAGCTATCTGTCAATGGTACATCCCATGCAGGGTCTTGCCTTGCCATGGTACTTCCTCTGCTTGAACTTCCTTCCATGTCTGCTGCTGTCTTAGACATTCTTACAGCATCTTACTACCATCTTACTACTATACTCCTGGATGCTCTGGGTTTCATCCAGGCCAGTGGCATTCACTAGACCCCGCCCACCCTCTTTGTATAATCTCTGGGTATTGAACTTGGGGTGGAAACCTCCATACATTGTGAGGAGCTTCCAGGTCTTCACATCGGCAGCCTTCATGTCCTTCTTTGGCCAGCTCACTCTACTGGCAGGGTATCTGATGACTGGCAGGGCATACATGTTGATGGCGTGGATCTTGTTCTTCCCATTGAATTGGCTCTTCAGGACCTGTCTTATCCTTTGGTGGTACTTGGATGTTGCTGTCTTCTTTGCCTCCTCATCAAGGTTCCCATGTGACTGTGGAATACCAAGGTACGTGTAGCTGGTCTGTATGTCTGCTATGTGGCCCGCTGGTAGTTTCACCCCATCAGTCTTAACTACCTTCCCTCTCTTTACTAACATCCAGCCACACTTCTCCATCCAAATGACATCCCAATGTCCTCGCTCTAGATCTGTGTCAGGTGGATCAGGGAGTCAATGTCTCATTCACTCTTAGCATACAGCTTGATGTGATCCATGTAGAGGAGGTGGCTGATGGTAATTCCACTTTTGAACTTGAATAGCAGCAAAGACAGTGCATCACCTTGTTATATGCTGCACTGATGGCCACTTGTGTCAGCTGCCTGGAGTTGACTTCCACTATTGTCTTCCACAGTCCCACTGAATTCTTGAGGAAGGTTCTTAGTGTCCTGTTGACTTTGTATGTGCCAGGCATTCACAGATCCATATGTGTGGCATTGAGTTGTAGGCTTTCCTGTAGTCAACTGTAAGGTTCAGCCCAGAGAACTCCACGAGACAGTGCAGTACAGTTCTGTTGCATTTATTAGCTTCACCTTAATACAGAAATCTCTCCAGACTGAACCTAAGTTACCAAGCCAGCAAGCCACAATACCCTGAATTCCTGTGATGGAATGGAATTATGAAGGCCAGGCTCAGGGAGATAAGCATGTTCTTAGTTCACTGCAAGATCATGGGAAATTCAAGAGGATGAGGCTAGCACCTCCCTGAGGAATTCACGGTGTTGTGACGGACTAGCTTGGGAGCTACGGTTCAGTCTGGGGAGATTCTTTCTAGAGGTTGTAGCTAATAAACATAGCAGAACTGAATTTGCATTGTCTCTTGGAGTTCTTTAGGCTAAACTTGACATCAGTCTCCCCAGACTCTCTACTACCTTCAAGACGAGTGGGTTTGAATCATGGCAACGGATCCCCAGGGAGATAATTTGACACCACAGTTATTGGCAGCAGCCCTGCTACAACATCAACAGCAAGTGGATGCACAAATCAATAACCTACAAGAAGCTATGGGGCAGTTAATACAACAGCTTGGGCCAGCAGCCCAGCCACCACCTCCCCTGCTGCCGGTGTTGCTACGTTCACCTGGTAGCATGCCAGAGAAGTATGGAGGTGAGGTGGAGCAGATGAGAACCTTCCTGGCACAATGCGAGTTGTTCATGGACGGCAGACTGGGAGAATTTCTTACGGATCGAACAAGAGTGGCTTTTGTGATGAGTTTATTGAAGGGCGCTGCAGCCAAGTGGGCTACCCCCCCTCATGGAGACAGGGGATCCAATGCTCAACAACTAGCAGAATTTTGTCATGGCCTTCAGGGGGCATTTTGGGGATTCAGTGAGAAGATTAATCGCCTGTTGGGAGATTCATAAGCTCAGGCAAGGCTACAGACCGGTAAGGTTATTCATTGCAGAATTCAAGTTGCTGGCAGGGGATGTTGAGTGGAATGAAGTGGCTCTTATGGACCAGTTTAGAGAGGGGTTGGACCCTGAGCTCCGATCGGAGCT